TTTATGCATACCCTAGATCGACCCGGAAAAAAAGTTCACCGTACACCCTTGAGTCTGACGTAGTATTGCAATTCGCTTTCGGAAAAATATATGTTTTTGCCGAACGTACCCCACTTTTAGATTTTTTTGTTATATCTTTGGCATTTACAGTCGGACTTTAAAGTATGATTGACGGCCGCTGTCGTGTAGTGGTTAGCAGTGCGCGCCACCACTTCGCAGGGCCTGGGTTCAAGCCCCAGTCAAATCAACAAAGAAAAAAAATTAGGAACATTTTTTTTTTTTCCTTAACAGCAGTCGCCCCTCGGCAGGCAATGGCTAACCTACGAGTGTATTTCTGTCATGAAAAAACAGCTTCTCATAAAAATACAATCGCTGTTCGGAGTCGGCGTAAGACTGTAGGTCCCTCCCCTTTGGAGGAGGAGAAGCTCGGCCATACACTAACATATGTGTAAGCGCCAATCTATTATCATTCTTTAAAGTAGGATATATCGATGATTTTGTCTCGAAGAGACCTGTTTTTTGTTCCAAATTTCATTGACCTCAAATTCTTCGTATATCTTCTTATCGTAATTCTTCTTATGGCTCACTAAGGGCCGGTTGTTCAATGTCTGGCTATCACTACTTGCCGGTTAGACATCATTATCGACGTTTTCGACATCATGCATATAACATGTGATCGACAAAGCAGTCGTTATATTTAACCGGAGCTTCTACCTCCAATTAGTGCTAATCAGACATTGAACAACCGGCCCTAAAAGTCATTAATTTGCTATGGATGCATTTTGATTATTCCATTCGAACTATTAAAAAAATATGTTATTGCCGAATGTAGGTGACATCGAAAAATGTAAAAGCGCGACCCTTAGGCTTAGTCAAAAAAACATTTTTTTTCAAAAGTAATTTGAAAAAATACTTTAGACTCAGGGGTAAATGGCGAATTTTTTTTGTTTGTTTCCTTGTTAAGGGGTCCGGTCTAATATATACATACATATGTGCATACATACATATATCGTTCCTTAAATATGGAAGAGGAGCCCAGTCTAATATTTTTGAATGATTAAATTTAACTGCCCTTTAACACATCGACTGCTCTATCTATCTATCCCATGCATATAAGCGAAGGTAAATTTAACAGGCAGTCGAGGAAACGGCCCTAAAAAAACTTAGGGCCAGTTTCTCAATGTCTGGTTAACACTAACTGCAGGTTAAACATCGTTATCGACATGATCGACTCCATAACAAATAGCAGGGAAATAGGATTTCAAATGAAAATCAGTTCAAACATGTAATGTCTGTGTACGTTGTATGTATGTATATATGTACGTATGTAGATATGTATGCACTTAAAATTTGCAAATAGTGCAAGTCCTATTGAACAACGAAGCAAACAAAAAAAGTTACAAAAGAACTTAAGGCCCGTCCACATAGAACTTTGGCGTTGCGTTGGCGTTGGCG